AGGGAAAGGAGGTGGCCCCCAAACAGGAAATGCTTCTCTGGGCTCCTGCTGCAGGAGGGCAGGGTGCAAGGGGCGGGGGCGGGGGGCTGGGCTGTGCTCAGGGTGAGCAGGGCTGCAGAGGAACTGGTGAGAGGCCATGTATGGGCATGGGGCACATAGTGACACGTGTGTGTGTGTGTGTGAGTGTGAGTATGAGTGTGACACAGGGGTCACATGTGTGGAGCCCTCCCTGCCCTCAGGGCCTGCTGTGTAGGACTGGCCAGGGTTCTCTCCCCGTCCTTCTGGGAGGCCTCTGGAGGCTTGTGCACAGAGCCTATACCTGGGACAGTCCCTAGGGAGCTGGTTGTCAGATTAACCTATTGACACCCACTGCACTCTTGGCAGAAGTTTGAACTGGGGGTAGGGACGCGGAGGAGAGTGCCTGCCCTCAGAGCACTGTGCTGGTCTAGTTTCCCACTCTGCCACTGACGCGCTGTGAGCCTGCAGGGAACTCACTGACCTTCTCTGGGTAAATCTACAAAATGGGGGTAATGTGTCAGGGCCTTGCTGCTCAAAAGGCTATTGTATCACAGCACCGAGTGTTTGCAAATGTGCTTTGTCAGCTGCAAAGCAGGAGGCAAATGTTCTTTAATCTTTTGAGCAAATCTGGGTAGGGATGGGGCCTAGAGTGGCTTTGCTAACCACCTTACAGGGCCAGGGCTGGCCCTGTACACACAGCCAGTCCTTTTGAGAACCAGGGCTTTCGAAGTACTTACTATATGCCCGGAAAGCTGTTCCGTCAAGGTCTACATCCGTGAAGCACATAGAATTATCCCCTTCTTATGAGAGGAAAGTTGATACGGGCAGTTCAGCCTTCTGTTGGCTCAGACCCAGAGCCTTGAAATCATCCTTGACTGCTCTTTCTCCCACATCCCACGTCCAGTCTCTCGGCAGATCCTGTCGGCTTCACCTTCAAAACGGATCCAGAATCTGACTACTTCTCCCCACCTTGTTTGCCACCTACCTCCGGCCCCCACCACCATCATCTTCCATCCAGATGCTTGCGACAGCCTCACCTCTGGTCTCTCTTTTGCTCTCTCCCTTCTACTAGAGGGATCCTTTTAAAACCCAAGTTAGATCCAGCCAGATCCAGTTATTCCGCTGCTCAGAACCGTGGAGGCCCCCATCTCACTCAGAGGAAAGGCCAACGTTCTCACCACGGCCTCCAGGCTTATGGGATCAGCCCCCAAACCCTCTCCCTCACTCCCTCTGGCCTCCTGGCTGTTCCTGGAACTCACCAGGCCTATGTCTACCTCAGCACCTTTGCCTGGGCTGTTCCCCCAGCTGGAATACTCTCCGGGCAATATCTGAATGCTCCCCCTCTTCGCTTTCTACAGGCCTCAGCTCAAGCCCTCAGTCCTTGACCACGCCCCTCCCCTACCCCCTGGGCCTCCCTGGCTCCCTAGTCTTGTTCCTTTTCTCCCCTTTGCACTTACCGCTATCTGCCGTGGAACCCCCAATAGCCAGGGTTTCTCAACCTTAGCATTACTGATATTTAGAGCTGGGTAATTATTTCCTATAGGGACTGTGCTGTGCTCTGTAAAGTTTAGCAGCATCCCTGGCTTCTACCTTGATGCCAGTAGCATCCTTTCAGTTGGGACAATCAAAAATGTCTCCAGACATTGTCAACTGTCATGTCCCCTGGGGGTGACATTCCCCCAGTGGAGGATTCTTGCCCTGGGAGACGGTGAGTTCCATGAGGGCGAGGTCATTGTCTTATTCCCTGTTGTATCCCCAGAGTCTGGAAAGCTCCCAGCCCATAGATGCTGCTAATGGGTGTTTGTCAAGTGAATGAATGAATGAGACTCAGCTAAGTCAAGAACCTGGCTCGGGGTGATACGGAGGTGGCGGGGGGCAGAGGGGGAAGCTGGGATTCTGCCTGCGGCCAAAGCCTGCTTACTCCCCGTGCTAACCTGGATCTCCCTAGAAGTCAGACGTTCTTAGAACTGGGAGATCCTTGGAAATCAGCAAGCCTTTTTGCAAATGGGGAGACCGAGGCCCAGGGAGTCTCAGAGTGAGTCAGCGGCAGGGCTGGGACGAAGGCCCCTTGACTCTTACTCCAGTTCTCTTTTTGGTGTGGTGCTCTGAGGAGTCATTCGAGCACAGTCTGAGAGTTGGGTGTGACTTCAATCAGTGAGGACAGGAGGAAGGCAGAACAGGAAGAAGGCACAGCCTAGACAAAAGGGACGGAGATGTGAGAGCTCGAGACGTGTTTGGAGACTAAAAAGGACTCCACTGGGCCCGGAATGGCAGACATCTAGAGGGACCGTGGGGAGGGGAGAGGCTGGCTAAAAGGGGACCAAGGGGAAGGGGCATGACGAGAGACCCCTGTGGCTGGTGCGTGGTGGGTGGAGCGGGGACAGGAGGCCAGGGACCAGTTAGAGGTTGTTGCAATCGTCTGGGAGAAAGGAGTGAGCTGGCCGGAGAGCCGGGCAGCGAGGCAGGCCAGGCTGGGGGAGGCAGCCTCTGGAGCTTCCTCAGGGGCGGGCCAGAGCCTGGTCCAAGGGTGTGGTGGGCCCAGTCATGATCCGGGCAGTGGCCAGTGCTGGGGCGTCTGAGGGGAGGCTGTAGGCCGTCTGGCTAGTGGGCATGTCAGATCAGAGGTCAGGACTCCAGTTTCAGTGGGGGTGAGGGGTTGGGGGTTGGGCAAGGGAAGCAGGAGGAGGAGGGTCAAAGGCCAAATTCCAGATGGTCTGACTGGGCCTGTTCAAGTGGAGGGAAGCTGGAGGAGGGGTTGAGGTGGGGTGGGGCACACCTAACCCCAACACAGCGAAGGGTTTGGTAGGTAGAGAATGAGATTTGGAGACACACCTGGGGGCTCAGTTTGGGTGGGTGCCTAGCACTCACCTGCCCCCCATCCAGGATGGGAGAGGTAAGGTTGAAGCAGCCTAAGAACTTTCTGCCCTAGTTGGGATGGGGGAAGCAGTGGGCATAGCATCCAGGATCTGGGGGTGAGAGGGTAGAGAGAGTCTGGTTGTGGTCTTACCTTCCTGTGGTCCTGTTCAGCCTGACTCATTTTGATTCCCCTATAGCACAGAGAGAAGATGCTAACTGATGCAGTAAATGCTTGGAGGATGGGTAGATAGATATATGGGTGGAAGCATGGATGTATGGAAGGGTGGTTAAGCGAGGGAATGGGTGGGTGGATGGATGGATGGATGGATGGATGGATGGATGGATGGATGGAAGAATAGTTAGGTAAGAATGAGTAATGAATGGATGGGTGGCAGACAGATAGATAGTTGGATGGATATAGGAATGAATGAACCGTTGGATGGATAGATGGCTAGGTGGATGGGTGCGTGGATGAGAAGATGTTTACATGCGTGGCTGGATACGGGGATTCAAGCGGAAGTGCTAATTCATAACTAGCCACCGCCATGACGGATGGCATCTCAGAACGTAACTCTGTGGGTCTGTAGGAATGCGGCCCAGGAGAGGAGGACAGCCTGGGCCACTGGCAGGGATCGTATGTGACGCTCACCACACAGCTTGTTTTCTCTTTTGGGGCCTGAGGCCAATATGTCTCCCTGGCTGGGGTGGGGACAGCTCCGGATGCCAGGCTCAGCTCCCATAGGGGGTCAGAAGCCTGAGGTTCCCTGCTCTGATCTTGGCCCTTATGGGGAGAGCTCCCCTCAAGAGGGGCATGAAAACGGAAGCCCCCTCCCCAGAAGGAGCCTCGTCTCCCAGCTACTGGGACAAGCCGAACGGTAGTTTCTGGATGCAGCGTGTGGGCGCCCAGGGGTGGGAGCGAAGGCGGCTTGCAGAGGAACTGGGCTGAAGAGGGCCCAGTGGAACAACCGGGATGGGGGGATCGGGTGTGATTAGGGGGCGCCCCCTGGGCAGGCATCCTAGAGAGCGTTGGCACGCCTGCTGCTGAGCCAGCACATTGCTTTGTGTACAAATCACCTCCTTTCCTCCTTTTTTCTTTTGTCC